ATGACCAATCCAATTAGCCTTCCGTTTTCTTATTTCGTGTAGGATATTCCTCTGCTCACTGACTCTAAATAACACTTCTTCATTTCTCACATAATCGGTCCAACTGATCTTCTCCATCCTTCTCCAATACCACATTTCGAAGCTTTCCAGGTGTTTCTGATCTACTGCCCTAAGTGTCCAAGTTTCAGCCCCATACAGAGCTATGCTCCAAATGTAGCATTTCACTACCATTTTTCGGGCAAATGTCTTCTGTAGTGAATAATACCGGAACAAGTGCCTTGAATTTTTCGAATGCTAAGAGGTTCCCCCCCCCCCCGCCCCGCCCCCAAAAAAACCTCAAGCATATACACAACTAGACAGAAAAATATTTGTTTTGATATATCATTCGTCGTATATTTTTTTATTGTTTCAGCGTTTGCAGTGGAAGAAATATGTATAAAGTCTGCAGGTAAATGATAAATCTCCAAACCCTCCGTGCACGATGCTCTTCACTTATTCAAAGTATACACATGAAACAAATCTCTGAAAAAAGGAAATCTATTAAAGTTTTCAAAATAAAGCTCCATTACAGATGCTGACTGATATTTGCATTCATGTATGTAGATGCCGGTTTGCTGTGTAAGTCAGTTTGCATTTGAAAGGTGCTGCGACTGGCCTAATCGATCAAGGTTCTCCATGGTTTTCCTTGGTCCTAGGGCAAATGCTGAGCTGGTACTCAGATTCCACGTTGTGGGTGTTTCACAGGCCCCCACAATGTTCAGGTTAAAATTACACCCTAAAGTAAGTCTCCCAGTACTAAAGCAGAACTTTGCCCCAATTCAGCCCTCTCGGTGCCAACGTCAGATTCCTGATTGGAAGCAAAATATCCTGCTCAGTTTCTCTGCGTGTAACAAAGTAAATTTACTAACACTTTTCCTTCTCTCCAACAAACTTATATCAGAAGGGCAAGTGGCCATTGCCTGGGAACTTTCAAAAGTAGAATAATGTCCCCCTACCCTTAAAGAATGGTCTCTCACTACCACTCCATTCCGCCCATCTACCTTCTGTCTGCCTCGCAGGCTTCGTAGGATGGTGATGGTTGTTTGAATGAGCAAAATCCAAGGGCGGTCTTATCATAGTGATAACAAAACTCTAGGAACATATTCTCCCAAAAGGAGGAAATTGTGTTAAACGTCTTTCATGCTTTCATAATAGAATACAGTGATGGTTGATATTGTATTCTCAGCTTGTATTTATGAAAGAAATGATTGTGAGACTAATTCAGGTACCCAAGTATGCAGTATGAACTTCAGCTGAATAATTTACAATTGATTTGTATGCATAATTTTGACTCAGCAGCTATTTACATATCGATAGAACAATTTAGGTGTGGTGGACAAAGTGACACTGGGGTTGGTTTTCTCTGAGTGTTTCTGTTTCCCCTAACAATTCTCATTCCACAAACTGTTCCACAGTCATTAATCACCCTGTCATCCATGCTACATAGTCTCAAGACAACGTTTTTAAGCAACCCACTAAAAAATTAGACAGGCTATAACTTCATTGTTAACTGTAAGGGTGGTTCTGAGGATGGCATTTTATTGACACCAGATATTATTCAGCGAGCTGCTATGATTTGATTTTCAGAGCCTGAAGGTGACACGGCAGTAGCAGCTCTTAAAACCTTGAAATTATTTTGTAAGAAAATACCCAGAAAAGCTTGGGATGGCAAGGAAAGAATTTTTTTTTGTCCATGTTTATTCAGAACAGAAAATTTTGGAGGGTGAACCAAAATTATATTTAGTTAATTATTAGTACCTCCATAACATCCAGAAAGTTTCTGGTGTCTACTCAGTCTCCAGTACAGTGGATACTGAGGGCTGTTTTCCCAAGGGTAAAATAGCTGGGCTGTGAAACTGACCCCTTGCCTCCTCCTAGTTCTGAGGCCAAGAATGGTTTGTCTGTAACTAGTTCCCACATGCCTTCATGGCATGGTGCTTAATTAATTAAGCCCAGAGGTAATTTTAATGTCAGTAGGGAGATTTATGCTTTATAAACTGCCTCCTCTTGCTCCTCGCCTGAAATGGTAAGATAAATGTGATTTTTTACTGCCTTTCAAAATGTAATTTAATTAACTTTCCTCTTTTCACAGATCCTCATGTCAGAGTCGCAGGTCGACGGGAAGAAGTGAAGGTGGCTAAGGAGAAGGTGATGGAAGTCCTGGACACTAGAGTAATTATTTTGTTATGAGGATTTTGACTGTGTGTATGCTTATGTATATAGAGAGGAGCCATAGATCATTCAAGTGTTAGACAGGAAATTGTAATTTGTGACAAGCTGTGGTGTCAGATTCTGATACAATTGTATTTGGAATGAGCATTAAAACGCCATATTATTCTAAACATTGAAGAACATTTAAAGTATTATGCAAAGCAACAATAATATTTTTAGAATTATAAAAACTCGAGAAATCAAATCTGTGTATTTAAGTAATTATCTGGATCCTCTAAGAAAATAACTTGTTTCAGAGCAACCGTGTGACGATGAAACTGGATGTCAGCTATACAGATCACTCTCACATCATAGGGAAGGGAGGACTGACAATCAAGAAAGTGATGGAGGAGACTGGTTGTCATATCCATTTCCCAGACTCAAACCGCAGCAACTTGAATGAAAAAAGCAACCAAGTGTCTATAGCTGGGGAGATGGATGGTGTGGAGCAAGCAAGAGCCCGTATTCGGGTATGTCTAAATCTAATTTAAAGTGTATCAAGTAAGACATGGCTGAATATACTAGGAAAGGTTGCTATGTGCATCATGAAACTGAACTCTTCTTATTAGGGCTGAAAGAAAAGAATTCCTTGTGATTCAGATTATGATGAAAATGATAAGCCATTAAAGATTCAGATTTGACTAATTCATATTCCCTAGAACTCAAGTACTTTGTACTTGAAGTAAATAATTCCCTCTGAACATGCACTTCCAAGAATTTGTATGCTTGTTCAACAAAACAACACTCAAAATTTTGATGCATATACTCTCTTATCCTTTTAGTAACCTGTTACTGGTATATGAAGAGCTGCTTGTGAGATTGAAAAATTTTGGGGATATAAATAAATATATTAAGACTGGAGTAGGTACACTGGGCCTGCTCCTTCATGTTGATACATGGAAATATTCACTTGTATTATGACTAAAATTCGTAATAGAATGAGAATGCTGTGCTTATAATATTTTAACATAGGATAATCGTTTGCCTCCAGCACTACAAATTTTGTCATCATTTGGAAGAATTGGTAACAGAAATGCTATGACTATTTAGATACTGTGTATGGCGAAGAGAGAGTTCACTGATCCAGTGTGTTTGAATGATGTCACAGGTTCAAGGATGATTCAATCTTTGAAAGACAATCAGTGAAGTGGGCAGGCTGCAAGACTATTTTACATTTACATTCATTTATAATTTCATGGATCCAATCATCTCCCTGTAGGGCTGGATATACAACATGTCACATATTACAAATTCATGATGACTACACATCATTCATCCTTGGTCCAATAAAATATAAAATCAAGCCTGAGACAGAATAGCTCAAGTTGTCAGGACAACACACATAGGTCATGGAAAAACCACAATCCAATTCACACCTTGCCATTCCACACACTGGCAAGCCATATCATCCAAACAGTTACATTATAAAATATTAAAATTCATAACAAAAACAGACATCATACATACTACTACACTTACAACAAGCAAGTCTCAATAATATATAATTCACCCACACAGACCATTTATTAACTCTTAACTTTTGAGCCACTTAGATGCTTGACAAATTTATCAATTGAGTAAAATGCATTACTTTGCAAATAATTTTGTAAAAGAAACCTAAATTGCTTTTTATCATTTTTTAAAACTGTGATATTCGACAGCAGAATATTAAATAGCTTGACACCTGAATAATACACCCCTCTCTGATAGGATGATAAATGTGTTGAAGGTATATGAAGGTGGTCATTCCTTCTGGTACCAATGACATATACAGAGTTATTGGTTTGAAACTTATCCAGATTATAAACAACAGATGTCATCAGTGAGAGCAAATATACACATGGGATTGGTAATATGTCAAGCTTTTTAAATAAATCTCTACATGTATGAGTTGGGCCCACCCCCATCATTATTCTTATTATTATCTTTTGCATAACAAAGACCTTATGACTGTCTGATGTATTTCCCCAATATGTTATTTGACATTTCACAAGATAATGATAATATGCATAACATACAGTTTTAAGACTATTTATGTTTGATATTGTCACGTGTTGGGTATATGGCACGCGACAAGTAACTTCATGCCTTATTTGATATAGCGAATTTATTGAACACTCGCTCTTACACTTATACAATTAACAGTTTCCAATTACTGCCATTGGCAGTATCACAATTACTTCTCCTGTTTCATTCACTCCAAAGAGTGCTAGACTGTAACTGGCTGGTTACTCTCTCTAGTAACTCACTCGCCTGTAACTGGCTCAATCCTTGCTGCTGAATAGTGTTAGTTGCTCCTTATTTAGCCTCGGCATGGACAACACAGAAAACAGTTACGTGATAGGTACTGCTGTTGCGTGACGCCATGTTTACAGGTTGCCTAGCAACACTGTCGAGAGTTGTTTACTGCTGTGTAGTAACCGCGGTATCCCTTGTTACGTGACCGCGGCAATGGTTGGCTGACACAGTTGCTCTTCTGTTATGTCATCGTGGGGGAGGGGGTGTTTACCGAGTGTTGCGTATTGATGGAAGGAGTGGGGGTATGTGAGGTCACTCACAAAACCGCAGAGTTCACGTGACCCCTACTTCCTGTTGCGCCATCCATGTCACACTATATAGGATAATTTATGCATTAGAAAACAAACTGTGCTCAACTTGTGAAGCAAAAATTGATATGTCCCTTACAAGTCAGATGATTGTCCAGCTGCAAACCAAGAAATCTTATCATTTCTACTTCTTTCAGCTTTTTATTAAAAAAGAATGTACATAGAAGGTAGCTCTTAGCTGCTGTTGGGGTGAATTTTATCATTTTTGTTTTATCCAGATTTAACACTGATTATTTTGAAACCACGAAAACATATGATTGAAACAACATCCAATTTTGTTTTTAAATTAGAGTAGTCTTTAGCTGTGCAAGGAATACTTGTGTCATCTGCAAACATACTAACTTCTGAAATTTTACTTATTTCAAGGGGAAAATCATTTATGAGTAAGGGTCCCAACACCGATCCCTGAGGCACACCACATCCAACAATTTCCCAGTTAGAATAATATTTGTTATTTATATAATTTAATTCCACTCTTTGTCTCCTATATTGGAGGTGAGATTTGAACCATTGCAATAATACACCCTGCACTCCACAGTACTGCAGTTTCATTAACAGAAGAGCATAGCCTTGGCTATGTCACAAAATATACCAGTTACATACACGTTTCTATTCCAGGCTCTAAGTATTACATTGGTTAATTTAAACCTTGCATCTTCGGTTGATAATCCCTTTTGGAATCCATACTGCTCTGAAAGTAATATTTTATATTTTGCAATATGATCATCGAGTCTTCTAAAAATTGCTGTTTCAAAAACTTTTGCAAACCCAATTACTATAGGTATTGGCCTGCAGTTACTTATAACAGCATTTTCCCCTTTCTTGTATACTGGCTTAATAATTGCATATTTTAATCTTTCTGGATATAGACCCATGGTTAATGACTTATTAATTACATAAGTTAGAGGTTTACTGATTTGTTGTCTGCACAGTTTTATAATTTTATTTGTTACACCATCATACCCTGAAGAGTTTTTTTATTTTAATTTGCTAATTATACTAATTATTTCATCTTCTGCAACTAAATTAAGATTCTTATCTGGAATACCATTTGAGAAATTGGAATGCAAGTATGACATTGCAGTATAAATATTAGTTTTCTTAATATTAAGATTTTCTGTTATTGTTGCGAAATATTTATTAAAACTATGAGCTGCTGCTTCAGTATTTATTTATTTATTTATTATTGTTTTGAAAAGTCTGTGGTAGACATTCTTTATTCTGATTGTTAGTCCTACCTGTTTCAGTGTTGATAATGTTCCAGGTAGTTTTTATTTTGCTTTCAGCTGATGTGATTAACTGATTATAATATTTCCTTTTAGCCTCTCTTTTTACTTTTCTTAATATCATGCAGTAGGATTTATAGTATGATTTAAACAAATAGTTGTAACTGTTTTGACAGAGAATAAATAAGGATTCCTTCTGTCTACAGGATGTATGTATACCTGCTGTTATCCAGCCATTAACCTTGAGTTTGTTACATTTTGCTTTGGAAAGCATGACTCAAAGACAAGTAAATGCTTATTTAAAAATGAGTTGAATATTTTGTTTACATCACTTAGTTTATGTATATTTTCCCATTTCTGATTAGATAGTTTATTAAGAAATTAAGCAATTGAGTCTTCATTTACTAATCTTCTTGTGATTCCCTGCACTTTTTTCCTCTCCAGGAAATTGATATTTTTTAGTACAAGACACTGAGCGTCATGATCAGATAGTCCATTACTAATAGAGATTACTTCATTTGAATTTATCCTTGCCTTATCTATAAAAATATTATCAATAGCAGAGCTTTTGGTCACAGTTATTCTTGTTGGGAACTGTACTGTATGAAGTATATTATATGATTGCAACAGCACTAATAGCTGTGTTTTACAAGTTGACTTTTCTAAAAAATTTACATTAAAAACTCCATATATGTAATTCAATTTTTGGTTTATAGAGTAATTTGAGTACTTTATCCAATTTATTTATAAAGTGCTCAAAATTTCCACAGGGTGACCTATATATACACAGTACAAATAGGTTAGTTCTAGCTAAAGAAATCTTAAGTGTACAAATTTCTATGTTCTTTTTGTCACAGGACTGTGCTAGATTTATAGCATTACATTTTATATCAGATCTTATGTATATACAAACACCTCCTCCCTGATGAGTCGTACGGGTATACTTTGTTCCCAATAAATAGTTCTGGAAATTGCTGCATAATAATTTTTTGTTAGTTATGCTCAGATAAGCATATTAAATGAGGATTTATATTATTGCTAACTACTGAACACTTCAATTCATCAATTTTGGCTCCAAGACTTCTGATATTTTGATGTACAAGAATTAGAGAGTCTTTAGTATAATTACACTTATTGTACAGAGACTTATTTGATTTTACTCCCATAAAGAATCCTCATTTCTGGTAGGTGGTCTTCTTTTTCTTCTATTACTATGCTCTCTTTCCCGATCAAGGATTGTTTCTCTTACCTTTTGTTGATTACTGGTGTCATTTCCCTCTATAATATTTTTGAGTACACCCACTGTCTGGTCACAATCACAATCACTCAAGTTCTCACTTTCACTATCTTCTTTTTCTTTTCCTTCTTTTCCATCTTTCAGTTGAGATTCCTTGACTTCTGGACTTGTATTATCTCTTCCCTGTACTTGGCAAGCTTCATTCAAATTATATATCCAACCCTGGGCTATAATATCTCTGTTGTCCTTAGTTAAGAGATCCCATGTCTGGTTTAATATCATCTCTTTCACTCTATTTTTCCCAATTACATTGAGATGAAGCCCATGCCTGGTATAACATGATCTATCCAATTCAATTTCCAGTATTTTCACATTACTCTCTAACTTCATTATTTTATGAATTTTCATATTGAATACTTTTATTTCTTAATACATGAAAAGTACAGTGTGAGAAGATTCAGAAAATTAGGTGCTCTGATCATCAACACATGTAGAGTCAGTTGCAGAGGAATTTGGAATTTCTGTTGGCAGCTCTCACAACATCCTCAGAAATAAAATGAGAAATGCATGCTGAAGATTGAAATGAAATGAACTGAGCTGAACTGAACTTAGAGTGATAGGTTTGGACAGTGATGAATCCAGTATCTGAGCCAGATCTGAAGAGAGAATTTCTGTGTTGTTACTCCCTTAACACCTAACTCAAATGTGCTTTGTCTTTTCAGAAATATCCCCTCCTTATACAGTATGCAACACAGACTGGATTTATAAGCTGAATGTGAAACATGCAGTTGTGATAATTAGTGTAGCTAGGCTTTTAAGATTTATGAGGAAGATGTAAACTTATTAATGAAACTGAATATTCTGTTCACAGAAACTGACTCCATTGATTTTTAGCTTTGAATTGCCAATAGTAGGAACACTGCAGTCTCTGCCTGATAGCAATTCTACGTATCTGAGGAGCATCCAAGAAAAATACAATGTTCATGTAATGTTTCGTAACCGCCCCAAGCTGTATGGCACCATGGTAGTTATAAAGGGCTGTGAATGGGAGGTGGCTATGGTAAAGCAAGCTACTCTCTTGGTGATACAACACATGTGTGAATCTCTTGCTGTGAGTATTTTAAATATCTCAGCTTTTGTGTTGTTTCTTTGATGTCTTACCTTGTCTTTGTTAGAAAGGAAAATGCAGATTTCCATCCCTTCATATTATATTATTTTTTATTACATAAAACAATTGGATTTTATAGTTAGGTCCATTTATTAAAGTAGTTTCCCCCTCCCAACTCTCAGGGCAGTATAATAGAGCACTGGTCTTCACTAAATGAATATTGACAATATCTGTTGCTGTTTATGTCAAACACATCATTTGTCACTCTGCAAGATTTGTTTTTCAATGGAAATCAATGCTGATGTTTGACTTAGTAGCCCTTATATTGGGGGGAGGGGTGATAAACTACTCCAGGACAGGGGAAAGGAAAAATAATGACCTCCCTTCACAGGGAATGTAAGGAACAGAAGTAAATGTTGTTTTGCAGGGTACAGAAGGTAAATTAATAATTCAACTTTTAAAAGGAATGGAATAAAGAGTAAAATTACAATTACAATTACAATTACAATTACAATTATCTCCATTGTGAGAACCTGAGATCTCGTCTGAAAAGTGTGTTTAAAATGCTGCACCAGCACCAGAACTAGAGCAATACAATGTTGTAAAGAAAGATATTTTGATCAGTTGAAGTTATTAATGAATACAGAATGGAAGTGACAATATATTATATTAAAAAAATATCATAAGAAAGAAACTATTTTGAATGGGGAGCTGGGGAGGCATTAGACAATATTTGCTATAGGTCTGGAAATATTCTGAAAATTAACTAACAAAGAACATTCCAACCATAGTGAGTAAATATCTTGCTATTTTCAGGCTCAGGTTCAAGTGCATATGACATTGGAGATTTCTCCTCAACACCACAGTATTGTATTGGGGAAAAACAGCAACAACTTGAAGCAGATAATGCAACAAACCTCAACAAAGATTATGTTCCCTGATGCTGGAGATCCTAACATTTCAAGCCTGAAGAAGAGCAACATTTGTATTACAGGAACAATTCATAATGTGTATCTTGCCAGGCAGCATCTCATGGTATGTTCCAAATTTTTCAGTTGCTCTAATGAGTTTACTTGTTACTAAGTGTTAATGTAACAAAATTTTGTCTGTTATTCTTCACTCAGCATTGTAAAGGATATTAAAATGTAGAGGGATAGATACAGATAAATTTGTAGCACACATTTGGGAACAAGAAATGCATATAAAACTTTGACTTAAAACAATGGAAGGAGGCAACTTGGGATACCTAAATGCTGATGGTAGGATGATAAACTAGTGGGAGAGAAGTGGGATTGAAGAAGTGAGCTGGATTAACTGGCTCGGAATATGGTCTAATGATGGGATTTTTGGATTATGGTCATAAACATGCTGAAACTGCCACCTCAGTTGATTTGCAGATGAATTCTGGGTTGATCTGAATGGTGGGGGATAATCAAATGTAATTACACGTACATTAATCAGTGCAAGCTGTGGTAATAAAAGGTTATTGCAGAGGCATGTTTGCTATTTTGAATACCTAAGATAATAACTTACGGAGGTTAGGAAAGGTATCAATTTTACCATCTTACAAAGATACATTAAATATTAAGAAGTAATTAAGCTATTTTCTGTAATATATTTTTCAAGTCCAGTAGATTCACTTGCATGTGGTATATATAATTTATCTGAGTATAAAACACTTCTTGAGGAAATTTCATTTCTCAGTGTCTTATCCAAAAGACTAAATATTTATTACAGTTGTAGTCAGAAACTGATTCCAGAATGTTCCAGAGAGTGCAGTGCTAAGGTTAACGTAACTATTGTGTTTTGTCTCTTCTCCCAGACAATGTCAACTTCACTGAAAACTCTCAAATGTTATTCATCAATAATTTAGTCTTGCCCCAGTTCTGGAAAATTCTTTTGACCCACATCAGGTAACATGTTGGAGCCAGTCTTGTAACAGATGGGCTATAGTCTGCTTATCAAGCCACCTGATCCAACTATATTTTTATCCTACAGTACTTTGGAACGCATGGAATTCCAGGTTGAAGCCGCATATACCCACACTCACTCTGCATATCATACATGCTCAGATACAGGCATAACACATTTATTCTGGGAAGTTTGTCATATGGCAGCCCCTTTCAGAATAGTCAACTTGCTTCAGATTCCATCAACTATACACACCTACATAAAGACAAATGTGTTACATGATGTCTTATAATGTTGGGTCAGAGGGATGACACTTTGGTTTCCATAACAGGATGTAGTCTGTAATGCATAATCCTATTGGCTGAGGAGGAATCTGTATATGAAGTTCTTCAGTATCTTTAAAATATAGTTTTCATGGATCTGACTATAAAGTTTGCTAGGAGTATACCAATATATCAGAGGAATCACTGCATCAATATTGAGGGTAGGAGAGAGTATAAAGTATTTTTCTACCCTGAAAACTGAGGCTGTAGGGTCCTCTGAAACGTTAGTATTCTTCTGCCATATTATATGACATTACATCCTAGAAGTTCATTGTAATCTTTCCATCACCACAGTGACAACCCTGAACTTCACAGTATTAACTTTGTTTTTTCTCAGAAAATTACTAGAATGAAATTTTGTTCTGCAAGGATATCCTGCTACAAAGGTGTTTAATTTATTTATAGTTTCTTATCGGTACAATTTTATGAATTTCTCGCATCTCTACCTTATTTTTTAAATTATTTTCAAAGTCAGAATGATTACTACATTAAATTTGGTGGGTTCAAATCAGATCAGAAATTTAATTTTAGCTCTGATATAATCTCATATAATTCTACTTCTGTTAGTGATGTTTAGTGATCTTGAAAGCTCTTGAAAGTCAAAACTTTAATCGTTTATTTTCTGGTACTGACTCCTCATTAAGCATGTGCATCAGTATTACACGTATATGTCATGATGAAATTCTAATGTGCCCATCAAACTCTGAAACCGGCCATCTATTGAAAGGGAATGAATATAATGTGTTCATGGATAATATTGTGACTAAAATTATACGGTATTTATGCATGTAAAGGCCGCACATTTTTTGCCAAAAATTCAAGAGGAAAACTGGGGTGCGGCTTATATTCGAAATATTCCAAATCACACTTCATTTAAAAAAAAATTATATTCATAAGTAGTAATACAAGGTGTTCTACTCCTGAAATAATATTCCAAGAAAATTATTTTTTCTATAATTTCTGTCTGAAAATTGTGCTGCGGCCTATACACGCTTGTGGCCTATACATGCGTAAATACGGTACTTCTATTATGAAGTGAAGTTAAGAACTGCTAAGATAAAATAAAGTTATCCCTGGGTTTAACTATGCCATGAAGACATATGGGGGAGTGGTTGTTTAGAGCCACATATTCTTGACCTCAGCAGTAGTTGGAGGTGAGTGGTCAGTTTCACTGTCCAGCCACTTTAACTCCGGGGAGAGCTCTCAGTACCCACTGGATAGGAGGTTGTGCCCATAGAATGTATTTATTCGTCTTCTGTGATTCTCAGACTAAAGAACGGTCTTCCTTATACAGCATAAAGTAGTTTGTCTTTTTAATGGAGAAGTAGTGTGCTTTCTATGAAGTAAGAACTAAATTTTTAATATTATTCAAATGAATTTCATGCTTCATATTGTTGAACAAGTTTCCTTCGACTTGTAGGGTTCGCTGCCAATTGTGCTTATGTTTGACCTGCCCGAGGACATGGTGGTAGATACGGACCAAGTCTCTCGACTGATGCAATACCTTGACGTCTTTATTAGCATCCGACGCAAACCCAAACAGAATGTTGTGTCAGTGATCATCAAGGGAATTGAGCGTAATGCCAGTAAGTGTAATAAATTTAATGAATTTTTATGTAATGGTAAGAACTAACGTCTCCTTAAATTATTCTTAAAATAATTTAATACAAAATTATTTTATTTTAAACTTTGATGTACAATATGAAGCTCCTAGCAGTTGGAATACTTGTTTTGTATGTTGATCTCTTCTAAGAAGTTGATTAATTTTTCTGCCATCTTTGTATGAAGTGTGTCAAATTTATAATTGGTTTATTATGCCTGTTCATCTGCATGATTTTTACCTGGAACTACACACTTACTTGGAAACATGGTGTTGTGAGGTCTACACCAACATTTGGTCAGTAAATTTAAGATTTGTATCATGAAGATACACTCCTTACTTTGCGTAAAGCTTACATCAGAGTATTAATTTTGGCAGGTAATTGTTCATCATGTGCACATCATTGATGTGCATTATGAAGAATAATTTAATTAAATATTTAACAAAATGCAAAGAAATATAATTTCAGACTATGCTGCATGGTGACTGCAGCATGATCAACTTTGTAACAATGTATTTTTGCCTACAGTAAATGAATACTGAGGCAAATGAGTTATGCCAATATACACATATTTATGCCCCATTAGAGAGCACACACTCACTCTGGCTTGTAGGGTTATTTGGAACTGTCCTGTGGTAATACCAAATATGCAGAATATTCTAGCAGTTTCTTCAGTTCCAGGATGTTGCAAATTACAGGCAATTAAGTTGTTTATAGCAAAGGGTACTGCATACTCCAGTATCATATTCAAAGAATTTTGCAGGATATCTTTCATTTATGAAAGATGGGATAAGTGTCTGAAGTATGTTTTATGGATCAATTATGTAAAACACTAAAGAAAAATTGAGTTCTGTGCAGGCATTAAAATTATCAGTTATTTGGAGATAATTATAATAATAATGTTTTCCAGTTTCTTGAAATGTTATTTCTGGAAATATGTTTTTTATCAGCTCTTTTTACTACAAGAATTTTGGCACTTGAAAAAATTGGAAAACCGCTGTAAAATGCCTCTGTTGCTGCTGCTTCTGCTGCTGTTTCCAGTGCTATTGCTTACAAAATAATGACATTGGTATGTGAAATAAACTTTTTTTCCTCATTGCAGCTAGTGTTTACGAAGCAAGGAATAAATTGTTGGGTTTGGAAGAACCGAGAGTTGTTGCTGATATACCAAAAACATACCATATCCCAGACACTCCATCTGCTGGTACAATTCATGAAGGTAAGGCAGACTTTTTGTTTAAAATCAGTGTCTTATAAAGTTGTCCCTACAGTTAAGCACCAGGACATGAGGACATGTGGATGAATAAGGACGAAGAATGTATCTTTAATCTTTTTGCTAGATGGAGGTAATTGGTTAGCTACATATTTGGGCCTTTTTCTTCTAGGGAAAGAGCCCTCATTACTCATGGAAAGGAGATTTAACTTTATCAAATATTCAGAATAATACACCTACAATAAAGAAAGCAAAAGAATCCTAACTGTGCAGGTCTCATTCTGTTTACACGTGTCAGTGATTTAAGTAATAATTAATTAACATGTTTGTCTCTAAGTAATGAACAAAAGCAGATAGTTAGGTGTAACACAATTCTAACATACACATATTTTCTTGTCTTTTATTGAATTATTACAAGGTACTTGAGACAGTATAACTGGTTGAAGCTGGAAGTGTCCATAATTTGTTATAATTACCTGTTGATAACAATTTGGAATTAAAATTGAAGCAACTGAAACTTATCCTTGATTTCTAAGACTTTTGCAGGATTTCTTTTAATTATGAACACAAAATGAGATAAGTGTGTGAAATATGTTTTATGGATCAGTTATGTAACACTCTGAAGGAAGCTTGATTTCTGTATAGTGCTAAATAATGTGAGCTTGACTGAAATCTGAAAATTACAATCCTTTTCTCACATAAAAGATAATGTTTAATAAATTTTTGTAGATTGTGAAGGAGAAAATAACAATACTTATTCCTTAACATGCCAAACCTATTAAAGAAGATTATGGTCTTCAGGGTTGCTGTGTTGTTTAGTTTCGTAGATGGATACCAAATTGTTGCCTCCATCTTCATGGACCATAACAATTAATGCAACAGACTCCTACCAAACCCGGGTAACTCTCTACCAAACTATGCTGTGTAACATTCTAGAAAACAATAATCTTCACACTTACTCTTGTGAAAACCTAAAATCTATCTTTGATTATTTTATTATAGCAATCCTATTCACTGCTCCATTGCACATTTCTCCCAAGTTTGTTCAAACAAATTATATATTCTTTTTATTCCATTTTTATCAAATATTTGTGTGATACACATACACTCATGTTAATATGAGTAGACTCAAATACATGATGGCACAAATGTTCAAATGCATTTAAGTTGGGAAGTGATGAAAATATTTGTCACAAAACCAGTAAGAAATAAATGATCAACTATAATAATTATTGTTATTTCTATGTTATATCTTTACTTACAATTTTTTATTTTATAAGACATGGAGTTTTATTGCTTAGTAATACTGTTGATATGGTATTTTGGCAGATATATATGGAACCAGTGCTGGAAGATGCCCAGTCCATCACAATCTGACTATAAACACAGGCTGCATTGGATTACCAGGAATTAATATTCCCCCTTTACAAGGAGCCCTTACACCTCCTTTTCCATCCCCTGCTGGTGGAATTTGTAACACATGGTCTGGTGGATTTGGCTCTCCTACTCCAGTTAATATGGGGCAGTTTCTCCACACACCTATACTGTCACAGTCCACCCTGAACCACCTAATAAATCTACAGCAACAACAACTGCTAATGCAGCATGTGGGAGGAGGTATTTTGGCCCCAAATCTTCTGCCAACTGGCTCATCCTGCAGTGCCTCAGTTACTGGCAGCAGCAGTAGCAGATCTCATATGACTGGAAGTTTCTCAAACAGCAGCCAATCTTTGGCATCTGACACAAAGGACACTAATGGTGAGAATTTATGTATAGATAATATGAAGTATTATGTTAAATCAGTGCTGTATGGCTTACATTCATAACTTTCATCCAGTACAAAATATTGAACTCCTTTCTCTAGTGGCAAAACTCCTAATATAAAAACATGTAATTTATTCAGTATTCAGCTATATCACCATTTAAATACTGACACAATAAATGCACTGACAAGTAACAATTCATGATGAAATAAAGTGAAGAAAAAGTAGTGTTTCATATTATTTGTTTAAAAACTGCTATTGTGTTAACATTGAAGTAAAGGTACAATGATTTTGTCTGTTATCATTTCAAGATTTAAATTTCTTTACTTGGAGGAAAGAACATTATTTGCAAGTATTGGAAACAAAGTGCTGAGGGAGGTGAACTATGAGAAAAACTGAATGATTTATACTTTTTTCCTTGTACTGTTAGGGTTCTGAAATAAAGGAAGTATAATTGGCTGAATATATAAGTTTAGTGCAAGACAGGAATGCATACCAGTGTAGTTTCTGTTGGAGGAACTTCCCAGCAAGTGATAACTTTTAATATCAAGAGGAGGGAAACACACAATATTTAAATTCATACCCTCAAGTATGTAAAGGATATATAAAGATTTTTATAAGATGGATTTAACTTAATTGGCTCAAGATCTGGTCTGGTGAGATGGAATTTTGTCTTTATATATTCAGCCTATAACGTCGAATGGTAAGTTAGGGTACAGGTTCACATCCTTATTCAGAATGTATGTAGTGGCATGAAAGTGTTTTTTTTCAGACGTACAGTAACTCAAATTGGAAGCACCACACTCTATGCCAGCAACATGATTACAGATATTTAAAATGTGATTCTTGTTCGTAGTTTTTTCATCTTTGAGCAGCAATACAAGTTCTCTATCAAGTCCTGCAATAAGCCCACAGACTGGTAGTTCACCAGTCCAGAAAAATGGAGTACAAGCAGATTCAACTAATGCAGGTAAGCAAGAAGAAATTTAAACATTTTATGTTGTTCAAAAGATTAGAAAATACACAGCATAAATCTTTTCTTGCACAGTTCATAACTTCTGCAGGAAATCCAATTACAAATATTCATTGTGACTATGACCACTACAAGTAATACATTCCCATTTACAATTCTCTTTATGGTGCTTAACTTGGAGACAAGACATTCTGGTCTCAGCAGTTAACATTTTCCAACATATGCTGTAAATGGTAAGTCTGTTTAAAATTGTTTCAGCTACTCTTATGATTTGTTTGCTATTTATAATAACTATTTACAAATATTGTAATAATACTGACTGAATTCTGTATCATGTAATAGTTGCTAAATTGGAAGGAACAGAATGGTAAATCATGGTATACCATGGTCCTAGTTATAAGTATGTAACTGTATAGAGTCTATTACCAGAGTTTCTCATTTGAATTTAAAATACAACATAGGTGTGGCTGCTACTGTGTCTATTTCATGAGAGCAGAGCCTATGATTTCTGTCAATTTTTTGACTCACCATAAAAAATTAGTAAATGAATGTCATCAAAGGATCCCCTGGTTAAGAGACAAGCATTTTTATATGTAGTATACCAAATGTAATTCACATAGTTTGAGAACTGTGACAGTATGGACCAGTAATATTTTTTTGTAAATGAGGTGTTAACAGAAAACAAACTCTGTGGCTTGAGTCCGCAAGCAAACTACACCAACCTGCCAACATAAAATTAAAAATTTTTTATTTTGAATTGTATTAAGACAATTCGCAATTTTAGAAAATGAAATCCAATCTAGTAACACAGTGTTGACTACCTACCTATATGTCTGTGTATATTTACCCATACGGGAATCTTTTGTCCCGTCTATTTTTCCGTTTATAATTCTCATAGAAGCTTATAAGGGAGATTGTGACCAAATATACTAACAAAATATGAGTCTGGGCTATAGAGGCAAAATAGAAATGGTACAGTTCATATATCTATTGTATTAAATTCCAGCTTTCTGCAGCATGATGTCTGATCTGATGAACCACACGGATCGTCGTGCTCCAGGCTGTGAAAAGAAAACTCTGGAACTTGCTGCTCAGCAATCATTTAATACATTTGATTTTGACAAGAAGAAACTTCTTGCTTACCAAGGTACTTATTAAATCTTTTTAAGTTCTTATTGCTATTCTAAAATTATAACCAAGTCTTTAGATGAGTATTATGAATGGAAAACCAGGGATGATTGTGTTAATTACAGATAAATAAAATAACACTAGTCATTTTTAAAACTTTTATTGTAGGATACCTATAATTCTTTAGATATGCTTTTACTCTATTATTGACAATGTTAATAAGTATTTTATTATGATAATAAGTTGCAATGCAAGTGTTATATGCATGTTGTATTTAATTATAACATTGTATCACTTATTGTGTCAATAGTTATTGCAACAATGGTTGTAAATATGTTGTAATATCTTTATGACGCCCTCTGGATTAATTTTATTGTAACTTGGGCTTTGACATGTTCTATATCTGGAGGCGTTATCGCCAAATATAGATCTTATGAACAAAAATAAATTGAAATTGAAATTTGGAAAGTGGTCAACATTTCAAGGCAATGCTTCTTGTATATTATGTGTGTGTGTCTTGTAATGGTTCAAACACTAGTATTTAAAATATGGTTTGTTAAATGTATTTGAATTTTCTTGTCGATCAAAATCTTGCTGTGAAGTCCAGTGATGGTTGTGTTCCTTCAGAGTAGGTGGTCTCTGTGTTCACGTGTTGGTGGGTGGGGTTGTGTTGTGTATGGTATGCACATAATACATGGGAAGCATTTCCTTCAAAGTGTTGGTTGCCTTCCAGTGATCCATCATTGCCCAGGATATGTAAACGTTTTATTTCGTAATTAAAATCATAGTTGCACTTGATGGAATTCAATTTTAATATTTTTATTACTAGTGGGGTGGGACTAAGTCCCTTGTACTGCGGCCACTTCTGGCCTATTGTACGAGCCCCAGATGATAGGTGAGGGTGGTTGTGGAGCAATTGGTGGAATGAAGATTGGCAGGGGAAACCGAAGTACTTGGAGAAAACCTGCCCCAGTGCCACTTTGTCCACCACAAATCGCACTTGACCAGACCTGGGATTGAACCTGGGCCGCCATGGTGGGCAGCCAGCGACTAACCGCTTGAGCTATGGTGCAGCCTAATTATAATTTTACTTATACTTGTATTTTACAGAGTACAACGGTTGAAGACAATGTCTATCATAAAAAAGTGAAACTACCATATTTATGAAATATATTCTCTGTTGTTTGCAATTCTGTTTGTTTCTAGCAATGCAGACCAAACCTGTTCCTGGAAATGTACGTGTTCCAACATCTGCTTGGTCTGGTTATGGTCTGAGTCATTCCAGTCCTGCACCAGATCTTGAGCATAGGAAGAAGGAAAGCTTTGCTGCCTCATTACTTGATGTAACCAACCAAAAACATTAACACTTAGAACATTATTTTTTTTTTCTCTTTCTAGTTTAGAATTTGGTTTGAGGAGCATTATTTACTTCCACAATAATTGTTTCTCAGTAATTCTGAGTATAAATATGTCCTGAAAAATTAAAACTCATTATTGAGAGTGTGATCATATTCACACTCTTTGAAGGACCAACATTGTTAGCGCATAGAATAGACACCAAATGAGGAGGTCCATCTGTATGCCTGTTGTATGTCTCACTCATAAAAAAAAAGATTTGATTTTTATTAAATACAATTCCTGTGTTTTGGAGGAGCTTGTTGCCACTATCTTCATGGTAGAAGAAATCTCACTACTACCCTGAGGGTGTAGGCGGCAGCTTCACTTGAAACATTGGTAGTTATCTTTTCAGACTGTGGGGTATCATGCCCAGAAGACAACAATTTTAATGTTCCCCAGTCCGAGAACCTCGTATCTCATAAATATAACCCCTACATTGCATGAAGCTCAAATCAAACAAAACTGATTTGTTTGTATCTCTAATAACAGACTTGTTTGAGCATTGAATGAATATAAAGTTCAGTAAAGTATTAAAAATCGCAAAAATCATACTTGGAAAATTTTGAGTACACCTTTCCACTCATACATATTTGAAATCTGGTAGCTTTTATTACCTAAAGAAGTTGGAGTGGGACCTGGTGCATATTATTTTTTTCAGTAATAATGGAATATAAAATGAGTAATTCTTATATGTATGCATTCAATATCATGGAACAGTAAATAAGACTGAACTTTTTGTTACTTTTTATTGCAAATATATTTGTTTTTCTGGATGGAACATTTTTGATTCATATTCTTAAGACTCAAAGACTTGGCATTTGAACTGTAAGTATAAAATCAAAATTCTTCCTCTTCGTCAGATATAATGTATAGGACTCTTTTATGCCTAAGGGGAATTATCTGCTATCTTTCTGATCAACTCAGAAGGTTTATACTATGGCCTGAGCTATGATGCTGTGAAGACATTGTTAAATAATCTATAATAAGCCCTACTAAGAAGACCACATAGCCAGGATAGTGCAGTCATTAAAGTGACTGGCTATGGGTTGGACAGGTGAGGGGTCAGAGGTAGATTCCTGGGGAGGGCACAGTTCTTCTCCTCTTCATGTCATCCAGACTGGTTCTGAGGCCCACTACAGCTTCCTGTCCCATGGGTATTGGGAGCGTTTTCTTCAGGGGTAAAGCGGCTGGAGCGTTAAGCTGACCACTCACCTCAAGCTAGTGCCAAATTCAAGAATACATGGATCTACGTAGGTCGTACCAAAAGTCATGAGCAACTCTTTTTGCATGCAACCTGGGAACAGCAGACGAAAGATAGTATGGTGGTAGGTGGAACCAGCTGTTGTGTTAACCTTGAGTGTCTTGTGGCGTTAATAGCTTGCATCACGTAACCAGTATCACTCCTAACAAAATGGCCCTACAACCATATGTCGTTTCACCAGCGTGCTGTCATCAGATTTCTTGTGAAAGAGGAAATCCCTGCTGCAGAAATTCACCAGAGACTTCAGCGTGCTTATGGAAGTGTGTGCATGGGTGCAAGCAGTGTTCGAAGATGGGGGAAACATTTTAAAGATGGGAACACCAGCATCAAAGATGAGCCTTGGAGCGATCGTCCTCAAACAGCCTCGACTGAACGCAACAAGGAAAAAGTGGATGAGATCATTAAAGATGACAGGCGTGTGACTGTGGACACAATAGCCCGAAAACTTGGAATAGTGCACAGTACAGTACAGGAGATGATTGAAAGCTTGGGCTATAGGAAAATTTGTGCTCCTTGGGTCCTGCGGTTATTGACTGAAGACCACAAAGGTCAGCGAAAAGCCATCACCTCACAACTGCTACAGAGATCTTGACACGAAGGCGATGATTTTTTACTCTGTATTGTGACAGGTGACAAAAGCTGGTTTCACCATTTCAAGCCTGAAATGAAACGGCAGAGTATGGAATGGCACCATTTGCATTCTCCATCAAAAAAGAAGGCAAAGACGGTGCCATCATCTGTGAAGGTTATGGGCACAGTCTTCTGGGATGCAGAGGGGTTTATTCTGGCCGAATTCCTGGAACCTGGGCAAACCATCAATGCTGTTCATTATGTCCAGACGCTGCACAAACTGCGTCGTGCATAGCGCGATAAACATCCGGGATGAAACATCATCCTGCATGACAACACTCGCCTCATACTGGAAGCAATTGCAAAGATTGGGTGAGAAGTTCTTCCACACCCCTCCTATAGCCCTGATCTGGCACCCTCCGACTACCATCTTTTCGGATTTGTGAAGGATCAGCTGCGTGGACAACGTTTTGAGACAAGGGAGGCAATTCAGAAAGCAGTGTGTCAGTGTCTTCGGATGGCTGAAATGGAATTTTATAGAAGGGGAATTTTCAAACTCCCAGAACGCTGGGAGAAATGTGTACAGAGAAGTGGCGATTATGTGGAAAAATAAAGAAAGGTCTGTAGACTGAGGTGGTTTATTTGGTTTATCAATAATAAAGCATGTTACTTTACAAAAAATTGTTGCTCATGACTTTCAGTATGACCCTTGTATATGTCCACTCCCCCATATGTCTTCACGGCATAGGGCTTAATTAGTTAAGCACAGGGATAAAAGTACCTTTCTACTTTATCCAGAAGACCACATATGAACCCACATAGGACATCACAAGTTTGACGTTTTTTCATCTATTTTTATGTGGTATAGATTAATCATGTCCAAGTTAAAAATATTTGGTTCCGAATGTGAAAAATATTCTCATTGCATCTGAAAGTCATTCTCACTTCGTTAATGAGTTTGGTGTGTCTGTCTCCTTTCCTTCTTCAATCATTGCAAGAACCGACACTGAATTTTTATCACAAGCTATTTATTTTAAATTCACTTCAAAATTGTTCCCATCATTTCATTTCTACATTATAGGAAATTCCTCTTACCATGAATCTTTCCACTACATCTTGCAATGTAATATGGGTGTATAACATTCCCATATTCTCTGATTTCTAATGCAATATTATTATGATGCAAATATACAAATTATTGAGTTCATTATGTATGTTTTCCAACTCATTTTTTCCTTACTATTCCATCTTAAAAGTTATTCCTAATGTAGAAATTTTGTGTTTTACATTTTTAATCTATGGAAAATGGATAAAAACGTGTTGAAAACTAACCTGAGTGGATAAGTATAGTATTATCATTGCATTACTAACAAGATATATTAATTTTATTTTACATAAAAATGGATATTGCTTACAGGAAGCATATGGTACCGAAGGTCCCACAAATTCAAATTTGGTTTCATCACCAACAGTATTTCCAAGTGCATCATCAGAATGTATTGATGGCCTTCCTCTCAGTGCCAGCAACTATCTTGACTCTGTCCCAGCCTCTACTGTGAACCGAATTACTGGACTGGAACCCCAGGATTTGGGTACTCTGCTTACAGTACTAGGACTTGAAAAATACATAAGTAAGTTTAAAACTGATTGTGCATTTAAAATGAAATACGATGGGGTACCCAAAAGAAACCGAACTAATTTTTTTGTGGGCAGAGCTTTTGTAGTACCGCGTTTTGCCGCTATGAGCGCATAGAGCTAACATTCCTGAGTCGATAAGCCGACTACCGTTGCTTCAGAAGGTAAGGACTAGTTTCGGCAGAGTTTATAGTGACAACTGTTTTGTGTGATCGTCGTTTTTGCAATGGCTGATTTTCGTGAACAGCGTGCGGCGGTGAAATTCTGCTTTTTGCTCGGGAAAAGTGGAACAGAAACTCTTGAAATGTTAAAAACGGCGTACAAGGACGATGCTATGGGGAAAACTCAAGTGTTTGAGTGGTTTTCCCGTTTCAAAAATGGTGAAATGTCAATTGATGACAAACCTCGTTCTGGTCGTCCTTCCACGGCCCGAACACATGAAAATGTTGAAACAATTCGTGAAATCATCAAGGAAGATCGACGACGGACCATTGAAGAAATTGTGGAGCTGTCGGGAGTGACTTGGAGCTCAGTTCAGCGAATTTTGACAGAAGATCTGGGAATGAAAAGGGTGGCTCCGAAATTCGTGCCACGACTGCTGACTGCTGAACAAAAACAAGGTCGCGTGGAAGCATGCTGTGCTTTGAAAGAAGAGTCCCAAAATGATCAAAACTTTTTGTCACTGTTTTGCTGATGTTGCTGAGGTGAAGGAAAAAAACGATGGAGGCGCTGTCAAACATCTCAAAAGATGAATTTAGACAATGTTTTGAAAAATGGAATAAAAGACTAGACAAGTGTATTAGTGTAAGTGGAGAGTACTTTGAAGGGGATTGAAGGTTTGTGCTTAAAATTTGAATAAATAAGTTTAAAAAGAAATAAGTTTGGTTTCTTTTGGGTACCCCCTCATACATTAGTACTTGTTATAAGACTTCAGCTTCTGGAACTAGGCCATATGAAATTATTTTGCCAAGCATTTCAATTGCCATTTCCATAGTTCATGACCCTGAGAGTGGCTTGATAGCTCTTACATAGCTCTCAGTTTAGACACTGCGTCAGAGATGAAACTATAGTTGGATGAACAGAGGAGCAACATGCTAACCAGTATGGAGTGTCCCATGTGGTTAGTGAAAAAGAGGTGATGGAATATGTTTCAGTTATCATATGCCTCCACAAAATATTAATCCTGAAGATGGCAACTGCAAGGAATGACAAAATGTTGGAAAACCATCAACATCTGACACAGCTTAGTCCTGAAAGCCAAAGCCACACATTAAGTCCCACCCATGAAAATCTGAGGACTATGAGGACTCGTTAAATTAAATGTGAAGGATAAGCTATAGTTATACAAACACAACACTACACTGTAAAGATATATAGGCATGTAGCTGTAATAGATTTTCTTTTAAAACATAATATAATCTGAAGAACTAAGAAATAACCACATGAAGTGTGTTTCTTTTTATACTTAGTTTCAGTCCAAAATGGTACTGCAATTTGGATATCAAGGTAATGCACAGAAATTATGCCATTTAAGATTTTAAAACTGGTAAAATGCCATGAGCCAAATGTTTACTAAAGATCAAAAACAGTTAGGTAAATGAAACGAAAATTTCATCATAGGAGAATCGTGTCTGCTGGAGATAATAATGAAACTGGGCATGGTTTTTAGGACAATTTACAAATTTCAATTGGGACTGGGATTACAAAAATTATACATGATTCTGCAGTTCTTCTACTTTTTATATTGGAGATAAAAAGCCATAAATGTGCACAAGAACAGTTGATATTGACCCCAATTATGGAGATAAATTGAGTTTCTGAAACGTTAGTTTTTAACTCAATTTTGATTGCCTGAAAAGGCTTTAGTGTGTTTTAATACTAGTTACTGGTACCAAGTTTTGTACTAAGTTCATTCACAAAGTATACATGAAGTTGAAAAAAATCAATTTCTGTTGTTCTCACAATGCTTCTAGTAGGAATTGGAAAATTTGACTTAATGTTTATTTAATATCTTCTGCATGTATGTAGCAGTTGAATGATGAGCTCATGTACATATTTTTCTCTGTGTTCTTAGAGAATTTTACTGACCATGAGATAGACTTGACTACCTTTGCTTCACTCAATGATTCTGATCTTCGGGAGATCGGAGTCAGTACTGTGGGAGCTCGACGCAAAATGCTTTGGATAATTTCTGGTGAGTAAAAACCAAATTTTGAATTTATGTTAACGAAAATACAACTACTTTATACAGTGATTTGGTATTTGATGTCCTCTAAGCTTAAGTCATGCAAATTCACTGCCATCTTCATGTCTTAATTTTTACTAATTTGTCTTAGATGCTTTACACTGTACATTTGTTTTTGTTTTCTTTTAGAACTGAAAAGTCGTCAGAACCAATTCTATAGGAGTGCTGCTCCTGGTGCTGAACGCAAAGCATCTACATCTATGATGGTAAGTAGCAATGGTATTGCAGATAATTGGTAGAAGCACCGAATGCTATACAGACTTTCTGGACCTTGTTGCATGACAAAATTATGTTTATAAATGATAAATTATTTATATATTGTTTGAAATCTAAACTGTTGTTCAAACATTGAAATATAAGCTTTATAAAAATTGTATACGTATAACATTTGTTTAATGTAGCCAAATCATCTGTTCAAAATAATTATAGGGGATTGAAAATTCCCACAAGTTACCATGTTAATGCTTGTAATCATTCTTTTTACCCCTTCTAGAATTCATGTTAAAATTTGAACATTGTGATACTGATATTAGCTTGAATGATGTATTATCTTTTAAACCATATATTTAGTTACCCTGTGGTGTGTACTAATTCATACTGTAGGGTGAATGTAATTTGAAACTTAAATATAGCCATGATTTTATATGTTACAGTTAACAAATCTTCTGCAATCAGAACTTGAATTCAGCATTGGTAACAGATGCACAGCATATTTTGAAAGTAAAGAAAACTGTTAGTATAATATTTTTCTAAAAATAATAATATATTCTTTAAATTCTCTTTGCTCGTAAAATATATGACATCATGGTTTTATTTAAGTGTTCTTTGTGAATGTGATACTCTTTAAAATCATAGTACTGTCACTAATTTTTAGAGTACTATTTTACTTGAAACTGTACTTACACATTCATTTTAAAAATGTTATTTATGAAGGTTACCATTTATAACTAATAGGTATTATGGACCAAAATAATGTAACCATTTGTAGGATATGCCTTTTGTACTTTTATGTTGTTAGCCGAAAATATGATACAAAGTTATATCCATAGATTTATATGAAGATTTATGGTTTAGATATTTGTTATTCTTGATGATTGTATTTGGATTCTTATGAGAGAGTTATGTTAAAACTTGCAGGACTTGCCGCAGTTTTTCAGTCTTTAACAAAATTGATAGATTAGTGTAAGGAATCTGTTCAACAGTTTCACATTACTAATTTTCTGGACAAAGGCTGTAACCTTCGATCTCCAATCTATTGAGGGGGGAGTGGAGCGTTTTAATACAGAAATAGGATGTTAGATCTATTGTGTATGACAGAATTCCATATTTAATGCCTTATGTATCTTACCATGTAGAAGTAAATGGAAGAGGTGGACTAGTGAGGTAAAGTCTGAATATTACATCATCACATATTATTATTATTAAATAGTAATATAGTGTTGCATCTGTAGTTGAATTCTTGATCTTTCTTCTACAAAATGATCTAAAAAATTTATACATAAGTTAGCTTTATTAAATACAAAACTTTTAAAATTTTGTTGCAGTCAATTTACTATTGTCATATTAAAGATGTAAATTGTTTCTGCTAAAAATATTATTCCTCACATTAAAATTCTGAGTGAAGGATGTAGTAGATGCAGTTCAATGGCAATTTCTATGAAAGCCTGAAGGGTTAGACTAGACTAGCTGTTTGCAGATTTTATGTTTTATACATATCCTTTTTCTTAGTTATTTTTAAACATAATCCAAACAAGATACTTTTCTAATAAATCTGTGTGTTATACAGTATTTTATTTAATCTGTGATGTGATTATGCACATAAAATCTTCATGCAGTATGTGCTAGTAATAAAAGTATGTGTTTATAAATTTATTGGCTATATTTAAGAAATTACCATTGAACTGCAGATGTGGAATACTGAGAAACGTAAGACATCAAGAATGGAAGAATTGGTACAATATACTATTTAGGTTGATCAGTGCATAAAAATGTGTACTTATGTACAGTACAGAATGTGACAGGTATATGATTGAAAGACAAAAGTAATATACCTGGTTAACGTAGTCGCTTGTTTTGATTTTGTTAATGTTTAGAGTCATACTGTACTGGGCTCTGTACATTCTCCAGTACAGTAATAGAAATAAGTAACCAGGCAGTTTGGGAGGCAAATCCTGCAGAATGAAGAAATTGCATGATATGACATGCTATGCTGATCACTTTTATAACAGTAGGATTAGGTTCTACCTGCTCTCTTATGATAATCCAATTAGCTCTGAGATAGCACAAAACTTTGTTACAGTGAAGTGCTTAGGCACGAACTGAAACACATGCTGACATCCCAGTTGCAGTATGCTGATGACTTTGGTTCCCACATAAAAATTCAGACATCAATGTTTTTCATTGTTGTTCTTTTGCCATGTTGCATGGTTACTGCTTCATTCTATTTGCTGAGATGTCTCGTTCTGTTTCCTGTTTAGTTGGTTTCTTTGAATATTTCCGTGTATATGTGATTAAGAACTTGTATGCAATAAATAACAGATCACCATCATCATCATCATCATCATCATCATCACCATTTATTACAACCAAAGTTATTGTTGTTGCTGCTGCTGTCGTTGTCCTTGTCGTCGTCATTGTTGTTATGAAATACATACAAGTCAACAAACATATTTGTCTGACTGAAGAGGAAAGTTTAAAATACGAATAGCCCCCTTTTATGTGTTCTTTGCAATCCTATACAGTTCAAGGATTTGTATTCATGCAGGGGAAGCAAAGAGAAGCAGCATCTGCCTTCTTCCCTAATCTATTGTTGGTAGTATTTTAGAATGCCAGTGTCTTTGACTGTGATGTCTGTATTTTGTTTTATTTGTTTCATGTGAGTTATATTTAAATCTAAATTTTTCACAAATCAAGACTTACATCATGTCTACAATCCCTTGCAGCCACATAACTGCATACAATGAGCAGCACTCAAATGCCATGTCTCACCCTGCACATAAGATCCTTTTCATTTCTTCAGTTTTCTCTGTTTCTGGCCTCTTTGCTTGTCATCCATAATTTTTTTATATAATTCATAAATCTATCTACTGTTGTCTTATTGCTTGGTAACTGTTAATACATGATGTAAGCACAATGCAGGGCCATGCCATCATGTAATGGAATCATGAGCAGTGGAATGTGTATTCATGAGCCCTTGCTTCTACAGTATACAATGACATGCCACTTAGAAGCGTTTTTTCTAGAAATGTGCAACTGTCATTAGCAAAATTTGGAATCTGCAAAATCATTTTATAAAAACTTTGCATAAATGTCATGACTTGCATTACCATATTTTCTTCCTTTCATGAGTCATGACTGGACTGGGCTAACTTAAATTGTGTGTATAATATCAGCTCTGCATATTTACTATATCTAATACATAGATTAAAATCTTCTGTAAGTGCATGTTACAGTCCTTGAGTCATACAGGTGATTTTTTGGAACAAAGCTTTTGTTCATGTGGATAAAAGAGGAAATAACAACACTGAGTGTATGTAAACATATATACAGAGCTTCCTTTCACCATAGATGCTGTTATGCATACTAGTGAACAATTAATGCCTGCTGGTAAACTTACGAAGGTCAAAATTTTAACATTTGCCTGTACATTGTTTGAAACTTGGGGCTAAAACTGAACATGGGACAGACAGAAAGTGCTATAATGCATAAAATATCTATTTGCTTCTAAAACTATGGGAGGTGTTCAGGATCAGTTACTCTCAACCAAAGCAAGGATTTTCTTCTCCTGTTTATTCAGGACTGTCTTATAAATTTATCATTATTTATAAACTGTATTTATCATGTCCTGTGATTTCATGCTGTAAAATTATAACTTCCTGCTAAATTATTGATTTATGAAATAATTGCAATTGTAAAACACATACAGTCAACTCTCGATTATCCGGGATAATGGTGGGCATGGAAATCACGATTAATCGAAAACCCGGTTAAGACAAATGTTATTAAAAGTAGTACTGTAATACTGTACCTTCATAATACTATAGGCCTACCTGTATTTAAATTTACTCAAGATCATTTTTATGTCATCTCATGGCCTATTTAATACTTTTTTTACATTATACTGAAGTGTGAATTAGTCATTTCAATCACAGTGTTCAACAACATCCAACACTTTTTACGAATATTCACACTTAACACTTAAAAAAAAATTAATATTGTTGTTTGCTTTTTTGCGGCATTTTCCTTTTTACGGATATCCGTATGATGCCTACGTAATATTAGCTTGTCACTTAATAAACTGTTCTCTTCACTCTAAAGATAGTCTAGTAAGGATTCCAAATGATTAAGAGCAGCACCATGTGATATATATTATAACTAGCAGCACTGTCCACCTCTTCCTCATTCTCACTTTCTTCCCGCTCTTCTGGCTGCACCCCGACTGAACTTACGATTTCGTCACTGTTTAACATTTTGAAGCCCAGCTCATACAAGTTTCTGTTGAATACTTAACACAACACGCTTCCTTTTACACCATGACATCACCCTCACCTATCATCTGGGGCTGGTACAATAGGTGAGAAGTGGCTGTAGTACAAGGGACTTAGTCCCACCCCACTAGCAATAATAAAAAAAAAATTCATGTAATAAACTGCTTGGAGGCCCATGGTATAGATGTAGTATAGTTTTGACGTTATTTTGTCCGTTCTGTAGGGAATGTAGATTGCAACTATTCCCTACAGAACGGACAAAATACATTGTAAGATGAGGCACTGGCTAAACAATTAACATCAAAACTATACTACATCTATGCCATGGGCCTCCAAGCAGTTTATTACATGTATAAAAGTCTAGAATATACCACTATGTCCGCGGGAATATTTGCATCAACTGACTTGATAATATAGAATATCACATTAAGAGTTTTAACCTTATTTTCCATAACTTTCGTTTTATAATAAGTTCATAGTTCATTGTACTTTTATACCACATATTTAATAATGTAATAATTGTCGAGTATCCAGCTTTACTAATGCAATTGCGGTTCAGTGGTGTGTGAATATGGTGGTCATGTGTTTGCCTGATGATGGTTTTAATAGCCGAAACATGTAGCTGGGCTAATTATAGCCTTGACCTTTATATTGTTGTGTTGTGAAGGACTCTATAAAGAAATTGTATAGGGTTCTAACTATTGGTGGTCACTCCCCCCTACTGGAGAGTGACTCTGCTGGTGCTCACTCTCACTCACTCTTGCCAATTGGACTGGTCGATTTTGGTTCTTGGTATATAGCCTTGGGGTGGACCCCACAGTAAATGCTGATTCCAACAGTTCTGCCGTTGTCATTAGTGCATATCTGTTGCCAAGGAAACATGTCTACTGAGACATGGCCTAGCATTGGCCAACTCTTCTGGTTCTGCCATCCCGGTTTTCAGCAGACATGCCACAATATAAACGTTTAAATGAGAACACAAAACTTCCTCTTTCCTTGATTTTAGGCATTGGGAGTGGAAATTTTATTCACTTCTAGGCCCACCTGTCCAGATGATCATGAGTTGTCATTGCATGCAGTGATAATGTGGCTCTTGAAAGGTATACAATGTATAGTCATATGCTTACATAATTTGAAAAATTTTTCATACATTTATGCAGACTTCAGAATGATTTATTTTTGTCATATAAGTTGCTTGAACTCTTAAAAATAGATTGGAATTTCTGACAATTGTGCAGTATTAAACCTTGTAGGATTCAGATATCTCTCTCTTGTATTGTAGATCCCATATATGTAGTTAAATGGAATGTGAATTGAATAATTTTCATATAAGTTAAAGTGCGAGAAAAATGTGAAACTTTCTCTTCAAAATTCTATATTCATTATGTTTTACAAGAGTTCATAACATGGCCCAAAATGGTGTAATGTATTTAAGCTAAGTATACACAAACATGAAGTTAATTTTGATGCACTTCTGTTTTTCTGAATCCTTAGTGCAGAATGACAGGACTGAATGCTTGCCATCCTGTTATATGTGTTATATGTGTTTTCGGCTTTTTCATTTTCAAGTCAGAATTGGGCTACATCAAATTTTCATCATTTGGACTGAATTTAAGTACAGAATTTTTGCTTCGATTTCAATGTATGTAACCACCTCTTTCTCTCACACACACACACACACACACACACACACACACACACACACACACACACACACACACACACATATATATATAATATCTATTTTTAGCACTGTGTTTTATAATTATATCTTTGAACACTGATGCAGAGGTTGGAGAAAAGGTGGCAGAGGCTAGGCAAACAACTGAAAAATATGCAGTTTGATGTGTTTCTCCATAATCCTATGTATAGTGCATACTTGCTGAGTTTGGAATGGGAACACATTGCCTAATGCTTAGTATGCATAAATGGTTACTAAATTGTAACATTTATTATCATTTGCCACATTCTGAACATATTCAAATTACATGTGAATATGTTTTTCAACACATCTCTGTAGTACTAACTTTGCATAAAACGTCCCTAATTAAACATGTGAACCCATTCCAAACAAGCATTATGTGAGGTTTTCATTGTGCTAATATCCAAGTATTTCTGTTCATTAATTTTAAAAATGTTCTTTCTTGATACTGTAATCAACGGAACATAAATTCATATAAATCATCTATTCACATAAATATATGATGACACATTTCATGACAACAGTGTTAAATCATTGAACATGAACAATGCTAGTAATTTACAATTAATATGATCTGTTACTGTTTATTTAATGGAGACCAGTTTGATATGTGACAACATAAAAATCACTCTTACTGAACTGCACATCTGCAGCTCAGAATATTGGTCTCTCTGAATGTATGTAATGCAAAAGTTTATAAGACTGAGGGGCTGAAATAAATTCCAAGTTTATTACTGAAGCTGCCTGACTCAGTAATGAAGTGAATAAAGTAACTGAGTGCTAATTTCTAGTGACTGTCTTCGAAGTGTCGTGTTGTGCTACAAATACAATGCAACTTTCATTCCCTCGCACTCAATTATTTTGATCACTTTCATTCAATTAACGTTATTTAGCTTGGCAAAAACATATGGTTCAAAATATTTCAAAGTATTTTAAAATTATTTCACTTAATGGCTTAATTATCTTGTTATATTGGCCTCATTTGCCATAGAGATAAGAATTTGTCTTTGTTCACAGGACCATTCCTGTTATGACTGCAACAGTACTTTTTAAATTCTGACTCCACCACTAAAGTTAAAGTTTATTTATTT